TTGAAATTCATGACTTTTGACCATTTTCATGACTAGACTAATCATTTGAAAGAAGCTAGCTCATTGGTAAGAAAATTCGATTCCACATTCCGATGCATCACAGACGATTGCTTGAAAGTTGCGTTGCGTATACGTTCAGATGACTTCGAAAAAAGTCGAAAATTTGTTGCACAATCTAATTACTTCATTCGCAAATCACAACCAAGTAATGTTAATTGACGAACTAAAAACTTCAGGAACAAATGCATCAGAAGTACTATAATATGTCAACTGAATCACCTTCAAACATCAATTCGGTATCACTCGCATCAATTGCCTCCAGATAAAGACCAGGTACTTTTCTGCCAGGTAGATTGTACCGACCCTTCTTGTCCTTCTTGATCCAAACATCATCACCAACAAATTTTACGGCTGCATCACGATGCACCAAAAAATGTGCGGCTGCTAAATCAGCCCCCAAAAACAGTAAACGTTCAGGGATGAATCTGAAAGCACACAAATGTCTTTGCCGTTTACGTTNAGTGACATTACATTCATTTGAACGCAATTGCTGCACTCTATATTGAACGCGTAGTAATACTGCAATATCGTTATTTTTTCATCAAACACTAGAATTTCAGTCCACAAAATTTTCTGAATAAGCTGAATAAACTGATCGTGAGGTGACTGATTGAAAAAACGTAATCGATAAATAGTGAATACATTACTCAGTAATTGAAAGATATACGAAAGAAAACGAAAACGGTCACAAACCGCTGATCGAATTGCAAATGCTGAAAATGGCGATATCGCTTGAATCGTCGTGTATTATCAAAACTATGATCAATGTAACGCATTTGTGTATGAAACGTCATCAACTCCATCGAAAATGCACCCGTGTCCTTACGCGTTTCATCTTCTGGCGCCTTTTTCGGTAGTACTGAAACATCGTTAGTTTTTCCTTACATGCATCCACCTTCGACTACTTTCGTAAACCTGACCGATAAACATTTCAAATATGATTTCTGATGCTTTTCAATATTTGTGCATACCTTCGAACTTACGTGACAATGCTGTAAAAATTCACAAATGATGCAAAAACTCGAGATATTTCGCTTACCATCGCTTGGTTTTTCTGGTGTTATGTAGAGACCGTTTGATAAACGAATAAAATTCTTCATGGCATCTTTCTCTTGCTGATATTCTCGTTCATCCCTTTGCAATTCCTGCCAACGTTTGAATGCACTCCATCGATGGATATTGAATGAACGTTTTTGCGGAAGAAAATTTACATTTTTAACAATGTTTTGCGGCAGTAATTTGCCGCAGTTGATGATGGTTGGTGCAGACGAGGATGATATCAGTAGACGATTACAACAAGACGAGTGCATCTCGCAACATCTTAAACCGTTTGTTCAATCATCGTCGAGTTCAATAACACATCAGGCCATCAGAGATGCACTTCGAGTCGCGCAGACGCATTTCAAATGAGACGTCATTCACTAGGTTACGATACTCAGAAACCTTACCACCGCCGTTATCAAATAAACAGAAATGACGCAGTGAAATGAAGGCATTAATCGACTTTGTATTAATCGAAAATTCGACTGTATTTAACGACATCTTTACACTGATGATGTTCGTCTGTGAAATATAACCTCTCGAAGCACAAAAAGATTTATGTGAATTATTGTGAATACTCCAATTTATGAAACATCGCGAAATTACAAAACTTTTATCACAAATGAAGAACA